AAATAAATAAATAAATAAATAAATAAATAAATAAATAAATAAATAAAATATACATTGGCTACTGGAGTACACCAAAGAATTTCAGAAAGGGGTTAGTCTAATGCTTTATAGGCTACAGCAAAGCATTTGACTGTGTTGATCATGAGAAGCTATAAGTGGTCCTGAAAGAAATGGGTGCACCTTAGCACTTGATTGTTCTGATGTGTAACCTGCATCATGGACAAGAAGCTACGGGTAGGAAAGAATACAGAGAAACAGAATGGTTTTCTACAGGCAAAGGTGTGAAAGGATGCATTTTATTGCCCTATTTATTCAATTTGTATGCAGAACAGATTTCCTGTATCATAAGGAAAGCTGGAGTCAAATCAGAGGAAGAAGAGAAAATTGGCAGAACAAACATCACTAACTTAAGATATGCAGAAGCTACCATACTACTGGCAGAAAGAAGCAATGGTATGAAACAATTTCTGGTAAAAGTGAAAGCAGAAGGTACAAAGGTAGGACTGTAGCTGAATATTTAAAAAATAAAAATCATTTCCAGAGAAGAATTGCAGAACTTCATGGTTAACCATGAAGAATTCAAAGCTGTGAAAGATACCTCAGCTCAATCATCAATTTAAAGGGAGACTGCAGTCAAGAAATTCAAAGAAGACTAAGATTTGAAAGGGGAGCAATGAAGGAATTAGAAAAGATCATCATGTGTAAGGATGTCTCACTATACACCAAGGTCAAGATCATCCAAACCATTGTATTCCCAATCACAATGTATGGATGCGAAAGCTGGTCAGTGAAGAAAAATGACAGGAAGAAATCAGATGCATTTGAAACATGCTGCTGGAGAATTTCTTTGTGAATTCCCTTCAGTACAGAAAGACAAACAAGTGAGTCCTAGATCAAATCAAGCCAGAGCTTAGAAACAAAAATTACGAAAGTGATTCTGTCATGATTTGGACACAACATGAGAAGGCAAGACTTCCTGGAGAAGACAATCATAATGGGTAAAATCAAAGGCAGAAGAGCAAAGGGAAGACCAAATATGATATGGATCAAATCCATAAAGGAAGCTACAGTCTTGAACTGGAAGAGTTGAATGGAGCTGTCATGGACAGGACATTTTGGAGAGCTTTCACTCATAGGGTTAGCATAAGTTGGAGCTGACTTGACAAACAACAGCATGTAGTTTAGATTGATGCGTATCCTTAAAGTTGAGTCTGTGGATAAGGTGAATATACCCAAGGCAAATATTGTATTTGATATTTTGAGCATTTATGGGATTTCACTATTTTTACCTAGCACATACTCTCAAAAGTCCAATGCTCTGTTTCATAACTTGAGTGGTAAGGAGGCAGTTCCTCCTTACCACAACTATTCTTGAAAAAGATAGAAACATAGAAACAGAGAGAGTCAAAAGGGATCTCCTGGACCATCTAGTCTGACCTCCAGCTCCAGCCGGCTCTGCTCACGACATGCCCACCATGTGCATGTTCAGCCTATCTTTGAACACCCGCACCGATGGGGCCTCTACCAAAAAGATGTTACTTCCAGTTAAAGAACATAGGTTGGTTTTCTAGATTTTGTCTATTTTATCATGCCTATTTTCTGACCTATAGCAAATTTTGGTCTTTTCCATTTAAATTAGTCTCAGTCATTTTTGGAATCTTCCTGTCTGAATCTTCTTTCCAAATAGATGATATTAGGTTCACAGCATTTAAAATAGTTGCCATAGTTTTAGGTGTTAGAGATTTGTGGTATATAATGACCAATAAATTACATGTTGATTCATTTTCTTGTGCTAAACTGACTCAGTGGGAGAATCCTAATGTAAAAACAGGTAGAAGAATGTTTTTATGGTTAACTGATAAATAAGTTTATTATTACCTACGATCAATTAGTGGGTGCCATTGATGAATTATTATCATTCTCAGTTTTACATGTCAAATGAAATTTCCTTGCTATGGCTGAATGGCAATGCCTGCATTTGCAATACTGCTGGAATCTAAGTTTGGCCTGCTGATTTTAATAGCTTAAGATTCTCTCTCACTACTGTGAGCACATGTTGATGCTGATCAGTTATATCAAGACACGATCCATCTTTATAAATCTTGAATAAATATACATATATGAAATGTGTATATTCATTTGTGATTACTCTGTGAATAAATATACATATATGAAAGATGGGTGGACAAACAGGACCTTAAGAAGAATGGAATACAAAATTGGACTGCTTCATTTACTCAATCAAAGGGTTGTTGTTTTAATGTCTTTATCTGAACCATCTGTGGTTCTCATTCTTGGGTTATGTCTTATACAGAAAACATTCCTTTTCTTTGTCTGTTGCATTCTATAACATGTCTTTTAATAATTGTCTGTCTAAGTCAGCTGATGGCTGGAGGTGCATCATGCTTCTTTTAACCTTATGTCCCAGCAATGCCGAATCATTACTTCTTTCTGCGGAAGTGTATACCATGAATAAGTTTCGCATTGTGTTTATGTGTGTAGATAAATAGGTACACATATGTGCACACATGCATTTCATATGTATTGAAACTGATAGATTCAATTCCATGTAATTAGTTTACTTTCCTTTTTATGGTTCTGTATTGCTTTTTTTTTTTTTTTTTGTGCAATGTATGGCTGTGAAAGCTGAACCATAAGGAAGGCTGAGTGCTAAAGGATTGAGGCCTTTGAATTGTGGTGCTGGAGGAGACTCCTGCGAGTCCCTTGGACCGCAAGGCAATCAAACCAGTCAGTCCTAGAGGAGATCAACCCTGACTGCTCTTTAGAAGGCCAGATCCTGAAGATGAAACTCAAATACTTTGGCCACCTAATGAGAAGGAAGGACTCCCTGGAGAAGAGCCTAATGCTGGGAACAATAGATGGCAAAAGAAGAAGGGGATGCCAGAGGATGAGGTGACTAGATGGAGTCACTGAAGCAGTTGGTGTGAGCTTAAGTGGACTCTGGGGGATGGTGGAGGACAGGAAGGCCTGGAGGAATGTTGTCCATGGGGTCGTGATGGGTCGGACACGACTTCACAATTAACAACATTGCTTAAATTTTATAATAAAATCAATATAAATATATAATATATTTATAGGGAGCTTTTTGCACTTCCTAAAATAATCCAATCTTTTTAGAAGCTAAGGTAAACCAGGAAATTAAACCAGATCTGACAGGCATTGTTCCATTATGAAAAAAACATGCCTTAGCATTTTTCCTAACAAAGCAGATCTTTATCAAGTCAAAGGTGTAGAAGCAAGTACTAACACATTTCCAGACTAGTACAGTTCACCAGAACATTAAGAAGCAGTGAGCTAAGCCATGCTGAGAATAAGCCACGCTAGTTTGGTTGTTTGCTCACTCACCTAACAGACACTCCGTCTTGCGCGCCAAGGATCCTCCCTGAAGCAGTCAAGCCACAGACCATTTTCCTTGCAAAACATTCCTTATTATTATATGGTTTTTATTGTTGTGTGGCTAATATGGTTAATGCGGTGGGTTAGAAATCTAATAAATAAATATTGCTGTCAAGTACATGCTCAGGGAATGAATCTCTGCGCATGCACAGAGTGGGTTGTTGAGACCAATCTCGTGTTTACCTCCAGGAACACTCCTTATGGACATAGTAGGGGCACATCCCTTCAGGAGGGACTCTCTGAAAGCAAGCATGGCTCCTCTCTGCACACCGATCATTTATTTATTTATTTATTTATTCATTCATTCATTCATTCATTCATTCATTCATTTATTTATAACATTTCTATGCTGCACCCATCGCCGAAGCCTCGGGGTGGCTCACAAAGACCGCTCATGGAGCGGTCTGCCTCTGCTGACACCTTGCCATGGGATCCAGAGCTGGGGGCACCCGGTCTCCATCTGAGAACCCCTCATTCCCAGAAACCCTCCCACCAACAGTTTGGGTATTTCCAGGAAATGCCTACTTGGCCAGATAAGTTGGCCTTGCTATAAGCACGTCCACCCACTTCATCTCAGTGTCTCAGCATGTCTCATCCTCCCAGTTCTCCCTTGATCCGCTTCACATTTCAATTCTGAATCTTCTGAATTCAGCAGCCAGTGAGAATGGGTGTCCAAAGCACTTATCCTTCTCACTCCTGCTAGATTCCATTTGTATCCCAGACATCCTTGTTTCCTTCTTTCCATGGCCTTTACAACAGGATGCTTTCTGCTGCTGGACCACTGAGATTGCTGATTCTTTCTTTCAGCATGAGATCACCAAGTGGAACGGAGTTTCTGAGCCATTATAAACATGCTAAAGCCCTGCAAATTTTACTTTACATTTTCAAGGCCTTGCACTCTTTGGCAAGACCACCCCTCCAGTATTCATCCCTGCATACTGATATCCGCCTCTCGCCAATGCCCTCCACTTTGATGCCACCCTTGCAGGTGAATAGCTTTTTATTTTTTTAAAATACTGCTTCACACTACTCTGAAAGAATAATATCCTACCCTAAAGCTCCTCCTCTCAAGTTGCCAGTTGGATCACTAAACATTTATACATAAATAACATGATGAAGCAGTAAAACAAGGTGGGGAATTGCACACATTTTGAGACAGAACAGAAAAAGTAAGAAACAGAACATTATACAAATATCACAGTAAATGGAGGGGAAATTGCACACATTTCAAATCTGGGGAAGCTTATGCAGATTTCCTAGTAGCTGAAGTCAATCCTGCACTTTTGTTTAGGACTAGAAAAAAATGTGACCATGTTCAGGACACTCTTTGGGGGCCCTTCCTCTCTGTATTTAGGTGTATGGGGCAGAGGACATCAAGAAAGGATGAGAGGAAATGGTGGCAGGAGATCCTGAGGATTGGCAGGGGGGTTGTCACTCTTGCCAGCTGGCCATCAGTCCATGCTTGATAACCCACAACGAAGTCATTCTGTCAGGTTCAGATGACACAAGAAACCATCACAGGGATAAACAACCTTCCAACAAACCTTGTATTCTCAGAGTGGCTTGTTCATGAAAAATAATCCCTCATACAGAATCTGTGCCAGGTTCATATACCACAGCAAAACACTCCAGCAGGTCTGATCACCCAGGATTAGTTGTGAAAATACCAGCTTACTGTGGAAAGGACTTCCAGAAGAACAAGTCCATTGGAACCATTATTCACAGGCTTTCTGTCATAAAAAGATTTTCTTCTAAAAGGGGGAGTAAAGGACTTTATAGCTTCTGCAAGTGGTAGAGTGTGTTGCTATAGGATGAGTAAATTTTATAGCACAAAAGCATTTTGTTGCCATAGTATGACATTCTGACTCTATCACCAACCAGTAGTACTACCAAGCTGGTAGTAAATATGAAGTGCAGACTATTCTACAGAATACATGAAGGAGGTAACACCTTGGTTGTAATGTCTGGGACTAACCTACTGAAACACTTGTCTAAAATAAATGACCAATGAGCCATTCAAAGTTTTACAGAGCTTCTTTTTCTCCTTACACTATGACAGGTTGTGATTCTTCTTGGACATCTGTTCGCCCAGAGTACTGGACAAGGCTCGACGTCTGTGAGTGGCTACAGTTTTGCTGTGATCAATACAAACTGGATGCCGACTGTATTTCCTTTTCCCACTTTAACATAAATGGCCAACAGCTGTGCTGCATGACTCAAGAAGACTTTTTAAATGCTGCAGGAATTTGTGGTGAATACCTGTATTTCATCCTACAAAACATCAAGGCTCATGGTCAGTGTGCCAAAGATTTCATCAGAATAAAATTGTTTCACTCTGGGTATGACTGTTACACTTGTGCAAGTCATTGAAGTAGCAGCCACAGAAACTGACAAATTGCATTGAACCACTCTCTAGCACGCACAATCACGCACACACAGGCAGACAGAGACTGAAATAAAAACAAGATTAGAACCATGTGGAAGCTGACATTTACACAAGGCCAAATGTCAAATCTCTGTCAAATCAGTCCTAGTGCTCCAGGCAGGTGGAGGAGGGAGCAATGAAAACAAAACAAAACAAAAAATTTAAAAAAGAACACAAGGGAAAGACTGATCTTAAACTTTTAAAGCATGAAGTTAAGGGGAAATAAACAGGGTTTAAAATGCAGGTACAGTGGTACAAAAGCTAGTTTTAAGAATCTATTTGAGACCAGTGTTATATTCTGTAAACAAAAGATGTCTATTGTTATGAACTGAAATATTAGTTTTGATGTTTTTTCTTCTGCAGGAGTCTCCTTCTTTCAGGACAACGAAGATACAAAGTCTTCTGAAAAAGAATGTAGGTAAACGTAAAAGTGTGCAAATTTCTAAACAGGATGGAAAGCCTATCAGAAGAAGCAACCAGCAGTGCTTCAACAGGAAGCCTTCCACAAGAGTTCTTACAGTAAATCTGGCAGTGGAGGCTGGTGGCTTGTCTGTCACTGGGGCTGTGCATCCACTCCAAGTTGTCATTTGTACTTTAAGGACATGATCAGCACCATGAGTAACTCCTTCAAAGTTCAGACCACAAGCCAGAGTGGATAGGCAGCTCCAATGACACAAGAACCCCTGGCCTCCACAGCAATCTGTGATATTTAGGCTGTAACAAGTGTGAGGAATGACTGTTCTCATTTGCTCTGCTGTGATGTGGGCAGAATACTAACAAAGTCACTCAGTTGATGCAGATTTATTCCGTTGTCAGGTTGGAACTCAGATTGAATGTAAAAATCCTCTGTCATTTTCCTATGCTGAAGCCATTCCTAAGAAAATCACAGGGAAATTTTTGGAATAGGTGGCAGTAAAGCATTTGCAGATTTAATTTGACTTCAGATCTGACTTTATGGTGGAGACATAATTGGTAGAGATCAAAAGCAAAAATATTCCCCTGCTGATCTTAGTTGGACCTCAGTGACCTTTGATACTGCCGGCCAAACCACTTCTCTTGGACCATTTGAAGCAGCAGTGAGGACACTTCCCCTTAGACATTGCCCTTTTTTTGCAGTTGGAGACATTGCCCCCATGGAACTGGGCACATTTGAAAGGTCACTGTGTCCTTGCCAAGGCTCTTTAATATTTATATGAATTAAACCACTGGGAGAGAAAGCCTGAGTTTTGACATTGTGTGTCACCACCATGTTGATCACACCCAGCTCTTCTCTCATAATAAACTAAGTACCCAGGAACTGCCATGTTTGCCTTTAATCATTGTTTGGAAGCTGTGGTCAAACACAGGAGGATAAACAAGCCGAAACTGATCCAGGCTGAAGCACCACTGACACAGCCAATGGGCATTTGTCTGCCTTCAGCACAGGTTCACAATCCCACTGGTATCCTGGGCCCTGCTGTGCTTTCAATAAACAGGTTGCTGTGGGACCTACAGCAGTTACATTTGCTGTGCAAAGATAGATCAACAGGAAGCTTGCCATACTGGTTTGTCATTTCCAGCTTAACTGATATAAATGGACTTTCTGTAGGCGGTTTTGGAAGATGACTCAGGATGGTCAGCTGGTGCAAAATGTTTTGGCCCACTTCCTGGTCAATGCCAAGAGATGGGAGCATATGCTGTCTTTGTTTTGTCAACAAGTCAAGTTGTTGGTTCTAACCTGTAAGCTTTATTGTAGAACACAGTCTGGAATGCATATACAAAAGAGATCATGGGCCAAATGTAGATGCTATAGCAAATTAATCTTTGCATTTAATGTATACTTTTTTTAAAAAAATGCAAAGAGCAGAAGATTGAATGGTATGGATTATTCATAGGTCCCTAGCAGACAGGAAAATTTACCCTTTATTTGTCCTTCCTGCAGTCTTGACAAATATTGCTCCCCCAAAAGCTGCTATTTGCATTGGAAGAACAGCTCCCAATGCAAATAGTACCTTCAAAGAAGCAATGTTTAGCCAGACTGAAGCAGAAGAGGAAATGGTTTCTCATCTGTTGTAATCCCAGTGATTATCAGCCTCCCCTCCAAGCACATGAAATGCAAAGATGCATTTAATGTCATGACTAGTTTGGCCTCTTATCTAAGAGCTGCCTTCATTTGGCAGATCAGGCGCTCCTTCATTTCACAGCTATTTGTACAATAAGAATCTGATGACAGACACAGGACCTTTACAGCCCTGGTCCTGGTCCTGGTCCTGGTCCTGAGGCCATAAAACCATCTCCTGTTGGAACTGAGTCAATTTTAACAGCTGCAGCACAGAAGGGCAGGAAGGTGAACTTTCTTTGCACTGGGCTTTGAGAAGTATGAGAGATGATTTTTCCGACTGACAGGAGCCTTTTGTTTTGTTCTGTGTTCATTTATTTTTGTAGCTCTGTATGTTGATTTGTCACTGTTGCAACAGTGCTCTTTGAGAAATTAAATAGATTAAACTAATAAATGGGTAACCCTTGAAAATGATTTGTTGGTTTGGTAGCAATCATGCCTGACTGGCCCATCTTAGAGCTCCAGGTTGTGCATGTCTCTCAAACAAGCATACCTGTATGCTTACAAGATGTAGGTAAATTCACGTCAGTCTCTCCAAAGAAAGGAAATCTGCGCCAGTGCTAAAACTGGGTCACAGGGAAGCAGAACAGCCACTGACTAACCATCCAGACTGGGTGCCACTGCTTCCAAGGCTCTGTAAATATGGTTCTGCAGGTAGAGTGCTTTTTACAGGTAGATACAATCTGGACACACTGCATTTGGAATTTAGCCATCTCTGCTTTTTATTTTATTTCAGCTAATTTTGGTTAATTATTCACTCTGGATTATCTTTATGATAAGTTACATTTTAATCCTGAAATAAAACTAAAGCCCATATTCAGTTATTGTTGCAAGGTATGTCTTCAGGTGAACACAGTGGCCTCTTTAAATCATATTAACGTCAGACCGTGACATTTATCCATATTTATTTATGGCATTTTTATTTTTTTTTCCAGACAATAATAAGGCATGCTTGAGAACAGGTGGCATTAAAAGTCCAGACTTCCAAAGTCACAATAGAACAAGTAAGTATATTTATGTATATATGCCATCAAAATATTGTGCTTGGAAATGTTGCAGAAAATGCTGCTGTATCCATACTAAATGGCATATATCTTGTTTGGTCTGGATGTCATATATTAACTTTTAATTTTTCAAGGCAGTTTATAGTCCACATTATTTTATGGGAAGTAACAGTGTCTTTGTACAATCCTTGCAGTAGCATTGTGGACATGAACTCTCTAACCTGCAGATGAAAAATCATCTATCTCTGACTAGGCCTTTCCTGTTTTTCCTAACATTTTAACAGCTGCAGGAGGGGTTAGCATTAAGTGATTAAACTGTTCTTTTCACTGCAGCTCATTACTGGGAAAAGTGTCATGTGCTGAATTGATTTCTATCACAACGCTGATAAAGTAGTATGGTAATATTACCCTGAAATTCTAGAAGGAGAAAGTTAAATAGAAGAAGGGCATGCAGTGGAAGAAAGGGGGCAAACAGAAGAACAGGATAAGCAAGTGCTGAGGTCTGGTAGGAAGCCAAACATACAGTACATTGGCACATGCAAGCAGCTGAGCTTGGACCGGTTCAGAGTACACTGCCAATGTGTTCCAACCAGGAAGGGAGGCCTTTGCTCATAGAAATGTTTTAATTAATTGATTTAATTAACTTTGAAAAGTAAATTTACCAAGGGGAAACAATGATGACCACAGACTAAGGGGCCAAATTTTCCCAGCATTTCTGCTCACTTGCACCAACAAAAAAGGGTTCCCAATTATAAGAATTTGATGACTATTCAGAAAGAGTTGGGCAGTGCAACACTAGAGCTGGACACTAGACAGTGCCTAGATGACCATTGGATTGCTCAGATCCACAGCTGCCAGGCTGGAACATCACTCCACTCTCACCGGGGTCGGGGGCAAGTCCACATGAGGAGAACCTCCTGCACTGGCTACATCTCCAAGGTGCATTTTTGTAGACATTCCCAGGGATTCGGAGAGGAGGAGACCAGTGCCACCAAAGCATGACATATCCTGGCAATTCATTTCCTCCTACCCTGAGGCATGCTAAACCTTTTGCAGGGTGGGAAGAACATTCAGGAGGTCTTTACGGTTACCCTGCATGGGAGGTCCATAATCTTCTGAGGTCAGAGGATCATGAGCATCCCAATTTGGCTGCACCCTAAACCACTTCCACTGATGATCAGACTTAAAACAAATTCTCCTTCCATGACTAGCACTTATAAATTAAGTTCATTTGTTCAGAACTGCCAAATGGTGGAGATCAATCAACCACTTTCTGTTTCTTAGAATCTACATTTTCTTTCTTTTGCATATGAGAATCAGACAATGGAATGCTTCCTTATCCATATTTAGACAGTTTATGTCATATGATTGGCTCCAAGATTAAAATATAGGCTACCTAATCCACTGAATGAGCTAGAACAACATTTTAGGCTAGGTTCCACATTTCCTGTCAGTACAGGAGAAGCAGTTAAAGCAATTCTAGACTTGCTAAATATCACAAAATGATCTGGATTCTGACAGTAACTATGCTATGACATTTAAGGATAAGAAAATGAAATTCACCCAAGAATTTGAACAGGATCACTATAATGAGGATAGCAGCTATGGTGCACTGAACCAGAATTCTGATCAGCAAATAAATGGCCATACATAACACTTTTTGATTTTTTTAATTTCCAAATATCTCAAGAAAGCATACAGCTACAGGCTTGTGTACAGATAAAATGTCTTTCCATCACATTTTATCTGCACACAAGCCCTGTAAGATAGTTTAGAAACTAGCACATAGCGAGTGACTGGCTCCAGGCCATTGAGAGTGCAATCCTGCAAAAACTTAGACAGGAAAAATGCCCAACTCCCAAAATGCTTCAGCCAGCATGGTTGGCTGGAACATGCGGGAGTTGCAGGGCCTTTTCTGAACATGTATAGGATTGCACTTTCAGTGACTTTCATGACTTGAACTCAGGTATCCCTGGTCTGAGACTGCTGCTATCCTAAATCCCCCTACTTGTTGATTAAATTTCTATGTTGTTGTTGTTAGTTGCGAAGTCGTTGCCAACCCATCCTGTCCTCCACCATTCCTCAGATTCCACCCAAGGTCACACCGACTGCTTCAGTGACTCCATCTAGCCATCTCATCCTCTGCTGTCCCCTTCTTTTGCCCTCAATTGTTCCCACATTAGGGTCTTGTCCAGCAAATCCTTCCTTCTCATTAGGTGGCCAAAGTATTTGAGTTTCATCTTCAGTATCTGGCCTTCTAAAGAGCAGTCAGGGATGATCTCCTCTAGAACTGACTGGTTGGATCGCCTTGCGGTCCAAGGGACTTGCAGGAGTCTCCTCCAGCACCACAATTCAAAGGCCAGATACTGAAGATGAAACTCAAATACTTTGGCCACCTAATGAGAAGGAAGGATTTGCTGGACAAGACCCTAATGTGGGAACAATTGAGGGCAAAAGAAGGGGACAGCAGAGGATGAGATGGCTAGATGGAGTCACTGAAG